ATAATCAGAATTTGGGTATAAGAAGGAACCATTTTATAGATGATTAAGCTAACCCTCAGATGCTAAGAAATTTGCCAGAGTTGGGAGTGGGAGTAGGATACAAGACTCTGACTTATGCTCTTTCAGCGTTTGTACGTGGGACCTCATTCCTCTACCAGAAATGCTTCAAAGCCACTCAGTGGTCTAGAGGTGGTCTTAAGCATCCCAAAGCCTACCAGGGTATTGCGAGGACCCAGGGTACTTAATAAAAACAAGAATGCAGCAAGCAGGACTCCTCATTCTTTAAAGTGCCTAAGCAAGAAGGCATGGGTAACATTGCAGTTAGAAATTACAGACATTACCCAAAATGCTTTTGGACTTCTTTGTAAACATGGAAACTTCTGGCAAGATATCTAGATTTGGTACTGAAGAACAGGAAGATCATTTGTCTCATTTAAATTGACATATTGACTTAAGCATTGGCAGCAAGTTTAGACAATTATTCCAGTATTGCATTTCTAAGGCGGCCTAACTTTTAGCTTATGCTTTAGAAAGAAGATATTATGCCCATATTTTCAGTGTAACCTACTGAAGGAATAATATGCTTATTAATTAGGATTATATTTGACTGCTATAAAAAAAAAATCCAAGTAACAATAGTTCAGTCAAGGTAGAGATTACTTTTTCTTTTGGATTAAAAAAAAAAAAAAAGTCCAGAGGGGGTTGGGTTTGGTGACTCTTGTTTGTAATCCCAGCATTTTGGGAGGCCAAAATCAAGAACAGCTAGACAACATAGCAAGACTCTGTCCCTACAAAATATTTATTTATTTATTTTTTGTTTATTTTTTTTTTTGAGTTGGAGTCTCACTCTGTCACCCATACTGGGGTGCAGTGGCCGCTCCCGGCCACTGCAACCTCAACCTGCTGGGCTTCGGCGATCCTTTTGCCTCAGCCTTCCAAGTAGCCCGAACTACAGGTGCGCGCTACCACGCCCGGGTAATTTTTTGATTTATTGTAGAGATGAGGT